CCGTTCCAGGAACCTGTGCTAACTGATCCCTCTGCAACTATTCCTTTTAAATCAATCACATTTAGAACCAGTTATTGCTGTAGCACTCTCTCTGGCTCATTCTGTCAAACCAGATCTTGCTTATTGCCTTCTGTCCTGAATCGAAGACTGGAACCCCGGTGCTGAATCCATGCCTGATACAATCTGTGCAGCAATATATTCAATTTATTTGATATCTTAATATTCAAGAGAAAATTAAATGTATCAACATAACATTGATTGTTTCACTCTATAGCAAACATTAGCCTGCCACTGAAAACATTGATTGAACATAGCTAAGCTACTAACAGCCACTGAAAAGTGGTATACAGTAGTAGCATTGCTACATGTAGCCCACCACTACTCACCCAACACTCTCCAATGTTGCTCCTATACGCGTAGTTACATTTGTTGACATTTGGTACATTATCTGATTCATTGAAAGACCAGCTGTGTAGGTTGATTTAGTGATCATCTAGCACAGAGATGCACCGACTCAACCCAAGTGTGAAGAGAAATGATAGCATTTGTTTGTTACGTTTTGCGCCGTAGAAAACATGAATGTCGAACATGGTGCCTGTAGAACACTGACCTCGCCTCCCTCTGTAATAAAAATGTCTCATTTGGGGGAGTAACGCAAAACACAACTATTCTATTTCTACCAATAGATCCTCCTAAATATTACAAACAGGACCTTTAAGGGATTTTTATAATAAAATAAAATAAATCAGCTGATATATAGCTAACTGTATACCACAGTGGGACTGTAGATCCCAGTATATAAATTCTAGGTTTCAGCTACACTACACACACACACACACACACACACACACACAACTACACACACCACACACAACACACACACACACTGTCTTAATTGCAGGGGAGCATAAATGTTTTATTGTTTCTCACTCCAAAAACAGCTAATTCCCTGTAATATCTCTGTTCCTGACTGTACAGCAGGGGGAGAAATACAAAAAAGAAACCATCCCTTCTCTTCCCATGAAACACGAAAATAGCAACTCCAACTAAGCTGACTATAAAACCTTTCTCAGTAAAAAAAACATGCAGTAAAGTTGCAAAGGCTGTTCTGGTTTCACTCCATGCTGCTTGACAGAGACACAGAGAGACTGCATCGCAATTAGCTTGTAAAGTACTTTAATTCCTCTCGGAGTCCTGGGGTGCTGCGCCTGTAATTGCTGGCTCCCTTTCTTGATTGGAAATGCTTCACTTGTTGCTGCGGTTGCCTTGCCGGGCTCTCGGCTCATATTAGCCGCTGCTCCTTCTGCTCCCTGACCCCTATGGTTTGCAACTTTCACCCCACAGAGTACATTCAGTCCAGACTTCTGCTCGACTGCAAAAACATTCCCCTGGTTGTTTTATTACTTATATAAAGCATAAAGCTGAGCCTACTATGGCTCCTCCCTTTATTAATGCAGGATCATGAAAGGATCTGTTATAGTAAGTGAAACAATCTGCTGCATTGATACAGCCTCTGGTGGCTCTTTAGCTCTCACCCTTAGAAAAGCTTCCTCAGCATTATTGAAGTAATTCTTTATTACTGAGGGAGGGTCACATTTTTTGCCAAGTCATCATTCAGTGTAATATTATGGCACAGTGTGATGCCAAATCGAAGAGAAATCATCACCTAGGTGAGACACTACATGACAGAAGATAAATGGATGAAAGTGTGATATGTGTCTTCTTATTACTTTCATTCTCTCCCTCCTCTGTCTCTCCTTCTGTTTCTCTTACCACAGGTCAGCAGTGGCCATGCCATTTGGCTGTTTAACAATTGGGGAGAAGAAGGATTATAACAATCCTTCGGACGTGACAGATAAATATGACCTGGGTCAGATTGTTAAATCGTGAGTATCAATTTACAGAGGAATGATGCTTAACTTTTCTCAAAAAAATATTATGACCTGTGCTTACTCTATGGCCCTGAAAATAAACCTGAAATGTCATAAAATGCTTCTTTTCAGGGAGGAGTTCTGTGAGATATTCAGGGCCAAAGACAAAACTACGATGAAAATGTACACGTGTAAAAAGTTCCTGAAAAAGGATGGAAGGAAAGTCCGCAAGGCTGCGAAAAATGAGATCCTCATCTTAAAGATGTAAGTTGTTCAGTGTGGTTAATGTTCTCTGGGGTAAAAATGTGTTGAATAGTGCATGATTAGTTTTGTGATGAGATTCATGTTCTTTGTTTTTTGTTTTCCCTATTTCATCCTTTTAAAAGCTAATTTCACAGATAATTTTTTTAAATAATTTTTTAAGATTTTTGAAAAGAAAAACAGAACAAGCAACAAATCTAATAAAAAAGTCAAGCCAACCTCATCTGATCACACACAGCCACTGTTTCTGAGCTCCTTGCTCTATCTGACACATATTTTCTCATCTTCTCTGTGATTATCGCTTTTTCCAGTAAAAAAACCTAATCAAATAGGATGACATTGTCAAAGGCTGCGAATAATTGCTGGCAAAACTTCAGATGATATCTTTAAATGAACAATATTTAGATATTTATAGATTCTAGATTTTTTAAATAACTGAATAGAGTAGATGTTATTGTAGGAATTTTTAACGAGGTAATAGAAGTTTTTTGTGAAACACATACATCACAGACAGAAATTCTTTTAAAAGTATTTTTATGTCTGAAAGTCTGAGGGGCTCTTTAATTATGTGTGCAAAACATATTTTGTACTGGTAACAGTTAAATTAACAGACCAAACATATGTAAGGGAGGTACACTTGTGAGTTTGCAAAAATGACTCCACTCCCTAATATCACTCCTTTATGTTGTTACAAAAAATATCTTCACATTTCCTACCTGCTGGACTACATTCACTGTCTGCCATTTTATTTCAGTGTTCAAATTTTTAATTCAAACATTATATGTATGTCCTTTTAGAAATTCCCACAATGGAACAAAGGATGTGCACTACTTTTTAGTAAAAATCACATAATTCAATGCCTTTCCTTGACCTGACATGTAAATGACAGTTATACAACATTGTCACCACCTGTCAGAGCTGACGCAAAATGATAATGATACTGATGATACATTTTTCAAATCGAAATATTCCATTTATTCATGGAGTAGCCTTTTGAATCTTTAATGAATGAGGAAGCGATTTCACTGCTTTAGACCTTTTTGACCCTGTTCCATATGTAGAACAAATGAAGGCAACAGGGAGTACTGAGTCAACTCCCTGGGAATTGAAAGGAAATATCATAGCTTTATTGGCCAAATTCACCATGAATTTGTCCATCTGGAGCTGTGGTTGTCAAAGCATGGTCAGCTGCTCAGCACCATGCTGTTGCGGATGCAGCAGATTACATAAATCTGGTTATCTATGGGTGGGCAGTAAAGTCTGTTTTGCAGTTACATTTTGCTTTCTTCATGGTTGCTCGCTCTCTCAGCTTACTGTTGAGTGTTATTCATGAGCAATATAGCCTTTGCATTATTCTTCCAACTGAATGAATGATGCAGACATCATCTCCTATTTGACTCCTGACCTCATTTTCTCTGTCTTTGTGTTTCTTGCTCTGTCTTGTGCATTGTGTCACATCTCCTTAGGGTGAAGCATCCCAATATTCTCCAGCTGGTGGACGTCTTTGAGACCAAAAAGGAGTACTTCCTCTTCCTTGAACTGTGAGTTCAGATGTCTGATGAGCCTGGGGAAAAGGCTCTCTGCTTGTCTTTGCAGTCGCTCAGGCCTGCTGAACTGTATGTGTTGATTATACACTCGTGGGGAATGAGCTGTTGTAGCCTGAGGCCTGGTAGATATGAGAACGGCTCTGAACCTTCACTCATTTGGTATTCAGATATGATTGCTTGCTAGCTGCTCCATTCACAGCAGCATGTGTTCTTGGGGAATTTGATACATTACCATGGATATGCTAAATGCGTGATACTCGTTTCGTCCTTCGAGGACACCTGATTAGTGGGTTTAGGAATTCTGATTAGAAAGAAAATGATCAAACACAAAGTAACATCTATGGGGAAATGATTAAAACCATTTCCATTTAACAGGTGGGGTGTGCTATGTAATCTTGTCAAAAATGTTTATTCTTGGAATAATGTAATTTACATTTGACTATAAATATACAATGTAACATTCCAATTAGAGGTTTCTATGTTGCAGATGTTTTTTGCCTTTGTCTTTGCCTGAATGGTTGACAGTAGAGAGCAGATGGAAAGATTGGAAGAGAATGGAGGATGAAAGGTTCCCAGTCAGATTTAAACTGATAACAGTGCAGTCATACAGTGCAAATCTTCTAATGCTGAGATACAATTACATTCATATCTTTCAACAACAGAGTTATAACACATTATGGACCTTAATTTTCCACAGTGCAACAGGCAGAGAGGTGTTTGACTGGATCCTAGACCAAGGCTACTACTCAGAGAGAGACACCAGCAATGTGGTGCGCCAGGTGTTGGAGGCTGTTGCCTACCTCCACTCCCTGCATATTGTTCACAGAAACCTCAAGGTAAGACTCTACAGTGGTAGACAAGCAGTTCATTACTGGCATCTCACTGTTAACCTAAGCAGTAAAACTGTAATCTATGTAAAGGATTTCACTTTTAACTACTTTTACAGAGAATAATGTCCAGAAGATCATGTAGAATTAGTTAGTTTCTGCTTTTCAACGCAATGTAGTCTTTTCACCTGCAAACCACCAAAACCTCACTTACTGTTCTGTGCTGTTATCAGCTGTTCCAAAGCCAGTGTCGTGCTGTGATGGCTCCCTGTGCTGTGCTGTTGGCTCGCTAGTTGTCTGGAGATTTGTTTCAGACTTTTTTTTAGAAAATGATGCGCTTCATCTGATTATTTGAGCTGCTGTACTCAAACTCTGAACGTAAGAGACAACAATAAGTTTCCTCTGAGGAAAACTCCCCACAGGATTCCCAGACTGTCAGTGTGTCATGGAGGGTAGAGGCCTGTGCTTCAAGTGGATGAAAGATAATATATTCTTTCTGATGCCACCCCATATCCAAGTGCACCACAGATGCACTGGACACAATAATTGCAAAGTGTGATTGGCACAATGCACTGGGCAGGGTGCAATGCGATCTGCGCTGTGCCACAGTTTTCACGAAAATAGAGCTCTTAGTCTTGTTAGTATGCAGATTCAAGGCAACAGACCAGTAATAGAGGAAAAGGTGGTTGCCAAATAATTACTAACTATAGCAAAAGCTTGATTAGCTTATCCACTTCGATACCTCTCAAATCTCCCCATATGGGACTGTCAGCTTAAATGAAAATCAATAAATTTCTCAAGTGAAAATACGTCAAACTTGGTTGAGGAATTAATCCAATCATGAGAAAATGACTAAATTAAACTCAAGGTCTCTCATTTGATTTGATTTGTTTTAATCTGCACTGGATAATTAAACCTTTAGATGTTTTCAGTCTTCTCATTATATTTCTGCTCTCACAACTTAAATTCAACCTTCTAAACTTCCACTAGATGATTAACCATGAAAATGAAAGACCTTGAGCATGAATGTTAAATTAACTGTTGACATTGCAATACACTATTTTTTAGTTGGAGAACTTGGTTTATTACAACCGCCTGAAGCACTCTAAAATAGTCATCAGCGACTTCCATCTTGCCAAGCTGGAGAACGGACTAATCAAAGACCCCTGTGGGACACCGGAGTACCTGGGTGAGAATTTAAATGTACCAAATGGCAAATAAGACATTGTTATGCAGCCAGATTAGTGGCGATGTGGAAGATGAAGATTTTGATGAAGTTTCTGTGATCTCCTGCAGCTCCAGAGGTGGTTGGCAGACAGCGATATGGCAGGCCTGTGGACTGCTGGGCAACAGGTGTCATCATGTACATACTGTAAGTTAAAATTAATTATTATTCTGAACATAAGAAAGGGGTGTTTTTTCTAAAGCTTTACGCCTCATTAAAAGTCACTAGGTGACTTGTTAAATCATTTTGATGGTAACATCTTCAGACTTGATTGATATTGGTAAAGATTTTACTTTATGTGATATTAAATAATAGACCTAGTTTAAATAGGGTCTGTAGATGTTTTTTTACTTTTTGATCTTTGCTATCTCAGGCTGTCAGGGAACCCTCCTTTCTACGATGAAACCGATGACGATGACTATGAAAACCATGACAAGAACCTGTTTCGAAAGATCCTGGCAGGAGATTATGAGTTTGACTCTCCATACTGGGATGAGATCTCTGATTCAGGTACTTTTAGCATAAAGTTAACGCTGGGAAGGAACACGAAGGGTAAACATTCAAAATTGAAAATGTCTCCCGTCTTACCTCTCGTGTGGTCAAACACACATCATGTTTATGTTTCCATCCATCAGGAGTTTCTTCTGTGTTGAGTTTCTTCTGTATGATTTTTCTGACAGCTAAGAGTCTGGTTGCTCGTCTGATGGAGGTGGATCAAGACCAGAGACTTACAGCTCAGGAGGCTATAAACCATGAATGGTAGGCAGCTTTGATATATTGTACAGCCCATTTAAACCAGAGCAGTGTCATCAACCTGTGTTAATGTGATCGCACCAGCTCCAAAAGAGCAGACTTTCTTGTTTGACATTGAGGAACTTCCAAAATCATTATTCTTCATGAGTGCTCAGTACCGTAACAACAGTATTGATGCTTCCATTTGATATGGATTTCCACGTTCAGGGTGATTTATAATAACTGTGTGATTCCTTTACGTTTTATCTAGTGCCATCATCAGTCCAAAATTTCACTTACCTGAAAAAACTAATGACATTGTCATTGTTTAGTAATCACCACGTGTTAGAATTCTAACACAGTGAAACCTGCAATAGCTGATTTTTTTGGCCACTGGGTGGCAGTGGGAACAAGTGGGCTGACAACAGTAAAGTTGCGAGTTGGACATCTAAACAATATGCTGAAACTTGCTATAAAACTCGTAAGGCCATTTAGATTTAGATGATTTAGATGATAATTATCTGAAGGTTCATCACTACAGGTGACCCCTTTCACATTATCGCATTGTTTTCACACTTTGTTTTCTTCACAAGTGGCATTTAGGTGCAGCCGACAGAGACACTTCCAGCGAAATTTAAATTTTTACAAATCGATTGTCGCTGCCACAAAAAATAGGAGAAAAATGATCAGAATAACCCTTAAAGGTTAAACAGTTCCTGCAAAAGTTTGTCAGTCAATAAAATGAAAAACAAATTGAGTAATACTGCGCACCTGTAATCCAAAGATAGGGGAACTGTAAAGCTCCGTTGTGAAGTTGTGTTTTTCCTATTTTGTACAACAGGATCTCTGGAGGAGCAGCTTCAGATAAGAACATCAAGGAAAATGTGTGTGCACAAATAGAGAAGAACTTTGCCAGAGCTAAATGGAAGGTAAGCCCTTTTGTTCTCGCTTCCAGGAAGTTGAACAGCAGTTGAACTGTCCTTGAACAGGGAAGTAGCGCAGTATTGTGTAAGAGTTAAGGTGGTCCGATGAGAGTTGTCAGGCACCTATTTGAGTTCAGTTTGTTCTCCCTCCTCCTACAGAAAGCTGTGCGGGTCACCACCATCATGAAGAGACTGAGAGCACCTGAGCAGAGTGACTCGAGGGCAACCAGCCCTGCAGCCGGTGCCCCAGCAGACACCGCG